ATTTTACATCTCTAGTTAGCACCCCTGACCACCACATCTTGTAGCAGTGAATCCCACAGATTAACTGTATGCTGCGTGAAGAAGTACTTCCTTGTGTCTGTCCTGTATCTTCCATCCTTCAGCTCCTGCGGATGACTCAGGGTTCTGGGATTATGGAAGAAGGAGAAAATATTCTCTTTCCACTCTCTCCACACCATGAATAATTGTATAGACCTCTGTGTCTCCCTTTCCTTGCCTTTTTTCTAGGCTGAACAACCCGAAGTGTTTTAACTGATCCTCTTAGGGCAGCTTGCTCAAGCCCCCTGATCATTTTGGTTGCTCTTTTCTGCACTTTTCCAAGCTTTACAATATCCTTTTTCAGGTCAGGTGACTAGAAATGCACACAATCTTCCAAGTGTAAGGAGGAAGCTTTGAGCTCACTAAGAGAGACTTTTTGCAGCGTTCATTGAAAAATTTGGATCAATATTTTGGTATTTGGCAACCTTGTGCTTGGAAATATCGAACTCCCTGAGGAAGACACTGAAACAGGAGGATACCTGGACCTCTCTTGGAGGAAGACTGAGCACTTATTCAAAATAGACTTAAAGGAGTCCTCTTAAAACTTTTGTATAATTAAGGTGGACTGATATTAATAAAGGGGTTGTGCAATATCTTTTGTGACATATTAAGAGACGATACTTAGATGTTTTGATATATGATTCTTTCTATGTAGTAAGGCTTATATGATAAATAACATAGGGTGAATAAATTGTAAAAATATAAAGCAAAACATATATAAAAATTATTTGAGATATTTTATAATTGTCTGTGTTGCGGTGGCTCAAGTGGTTAAGAAGCTGAACTGCAGGCTATGGAAGGTCGGTAGTTCAGCCGTTCGAGACCCGGGTGCCGCATGACGGAGTGAGTTCCCGTCTCTAGTTCCAGCTCCTGCCAACCTAGCCATTCGAAAGCAAGAAATTGCAAGTCGATAAATAGGTACCACTTTGGTGGGAAGGTAAACAGCGTTCCGTGCGCCTTGGTGTTTAGTCATGCCGGCCACATGACCACGGAAACGTCTTCGGACAGCGCTGGTTCTTCGGCTTGGAAACGGAGATGAGCACCGCAACCCTAGAGTCGGACTCGACTGGCTTTCGAGCAAGGGATATTTTATAATCGTCTGTAGCACGGTATTTGCTGATTTTTGATAGCGCCAATCAAGGCAAAACCGGGGCCCGCCAGAATCTAACGGCTCCAACGCCCCGTTCCCAGCAGATGATGTTACAGGCAGGAATCGAGGTCAAACACATAAGCTATACAGATAAGGGAGCATCACCCAGACAGCCGGAAAGCGAAAGTCTCACATTCCAAGGACTTCTCCCCCCCAGCTCTTATGGCTGCGAGCTGACATCCATACTGGATCGACATTTTCATCAAGCTGTCCACTACCACCCCAAGGTCCCTTTCTTGATTTGTCTCTGCCAGCTCAGATCCCATCAGTGTATATGGAAAGATGGCATTATTTACCCCAAATATGCATCACTTTACACTTGCTCACTTCGACCGATTTCACACAAGAGCTGCGCCGCGGTCGCGCCTCCCTTTGCCCCGCTTCTATTGGTCGATTTCCCACTCGAAGCCATGCGGCCGTGTTTTGACCCACGGCTTCGCACGATTCCCCCCGCGGTTTCGTGATCCTCAAAAAACAGGATCATGAAACCGGGGGGAAATCGGGCGAAGCCACGGGCCAAAATGCGGCCGCACGGCTTCAAGTGAGAAATTGACCAATAGAAGCGGGGCAAAGGGAGGCGCGACCGCGGCACAGCTCTTGTGTGAAATCGGTCTTTGAATCTGATTTGCCCTTTTAATACCTTTAAGGGCGTTGGCATTTGGAAAAACATTGCATGCAGGCTGATCTGGATTTATTGTTATTTATTATGTGATGGACGCTGTCCGTCTCTCAAATTTATTCACATAATTAGAGGTATTTGTGTAGCTCCTATGATAAGAAGAGATTGAATCATCAAAGCCACTCTCCAAACTTGAATAAACCGACTCAAGAACAAGGAAGTCTCCACTCTTTTCCGGGTGGGCGGCTGTGGCCCTTTTAGCCCCCAGCTCGAGATGAGGCCCGTCAATGACATTTTAAAAAGAACAACTTGATGGGTGTGTGTGTGTCACCTCGTAAATCCGATCCAGAACCTGATGCCAGAATAAGGGAGCTTGCCTACATGCTGAATGATGCACTTTAGACAGACTTTCAGTACACTTTAGCGATTGTTAGCAAATGGGGTTTTGCCATTTCACACAGTAAAATCCAGTTGCAAAGTGCATTGAAAGTAGAATGAAAGTGCATTATTTGGTGCTGATTAAACACCGGACTGAGACCCGTATATATAACACGGGTGGTGGGAAGTGCTGTCCAGTCACACTGGCTTACGGCGGCCCCCTAGAGTTTTCAAGGCAAGAGACGTCCAGAGATGGTTTGCCATGGCTGTCAGCGAGCTGCCATGTTTTACTTGCTTCCTTCTGTGACCCTGGCGCTACGGCGCATGCTTCCTAGCTTGCTCGCTGCTCTGCCCACTTGCCGTAAACAGCGATAGGGAGACCGTGAGAACCAGTGCTGCCAGACTGAGTTATCTGTCTAACCTTGAGATGGAGGGAGGGCTTGCGTTCCACCGCTGGTGTGAATATTTCGGCTCTCATGGGGCACTGAGACTCTCCCGCTTATTATGTAACCTCCCGCCGGGAGAATTCTCGCGCGTGTGCTTGGATTTCATTTGCTTAGCCATTTGCCTCATCCTGCTATATGTAGGAATGCTTCTGCCCCATCGTCATTCCTAACAACTTGTGGACATGGTAACAGACCTGTAGTCTAATAAAGCATAATGCTTCCCTGGAAACGTGTGTGGAGATTTACTTGCTGTTGAACCTGACAATTGCCTGCCTTCACATCACGACCAGTGTTCCCTCTCAGCTGAGTTAGTATGAGCTAGCTCACCGTTTTTTTAGCCTCCAGCTCACAGATTTTTGTCTTAGCTCCGGAGCAAACTAATTTATGCAGTAGCTAAATTACTTGCTCAGGATTTTAATGCCAGTGGCTCACAAAGTAGAATTTTTGCTCACAAGACTCCACAGCTTAGAGAGAGCAATGATCACGACTAAGGTATTCCTTGGAGGTCTCCCATCTGAATACTATCCAGGGCTGACCCTGGTTAGCTCCTGCGATCTGACGAAATCCATCTAGCCTGGGCTGTCCAGGTCAGGGCATATGCAAGATAGATTTTGTTATATATTTTACCTGTTGGTGTTCTGTGAGCCACCTTTGGCAGAAAATTTTAACAGGTGCATGCAATGCTCCCTCTAAGCTGTGAAGTCTTGTGAGCAAAAATTCTGCATTAAAGTTGTGAGCGAGCGATTTGGCTACTGCATAAATTAGTTCGCTCTGGAGCCATCCTTCCTGAGCTAAGACAAAAATGCGTGAGCCGGAGGCTAGCTCACACTAGCTCAGCTTAGAGAGAACACTGGGTGCACGTAAAGCAGGCTGGCCGGAGGTGGTTCAGTGCCTTTGGAAGAAATCCAGACGGCGCCTCTTTTCCTGCCACCTAAGATGGGGCGCCACCTCCCAGGGATTTCTCTTGTGCAGGCCTTGCTGGAAACGTATGGTAGTGGGTGGGCTGGGCAGAAGGTCCCTGTGAACTGCTTTCGCATTCCTAGCAGAGAGCCTAGCATGCTGCTTAAGAACCTGTTCGGTGGCTGCAGCTATTGCAGAACGCCCCGGCTCTTGGGAGCATGTGACCCTGGTATTACAGCAGTTACACTGGCTACCGGACAACTCCCGAGCCCAGTTCGAGGTGTTGGTTTTGATCCTTGAAGCCCTACATGGCTTGGGACTGGGGTATCAGAAGAACCGTCTTCTCCCATATGTCCCTACCAGGGAATTAAGATCACAGGAAGAGGCTATACGGACTGTCCCATCAACCAAAGAAGCTCATTTAGTGGGTACAGGAGAGAGGGCCTGTTCAGTGGCAGCCCCACGATTATTGAACAACCTCCTCAGGGTGTAGTACCTGGCCCCCCTCACCAGTGTCCCCTCCAATTTTTTTCCCCTTGCTGAAGGAAGCAGTTCACTTTGGGGTCAGGAGGCAGTTTTTCTCCAGGCTGGTTGGCCAGGGATCCTGGAGGTCTTTTTGTCATCTTCTGGGCGTGGAACAGGGGTCACTGTGGGTGTAGAGGGGGAGGTATTTGTGAACTTCCTGCATTGTGCAGCGGGTTGGATTAGAGGATCCTGGGGGTCCCTTCCAACTCTGTGATTCACATCCTGAGCAGAATATAACTGCTGTCATCTTAAAATGGGCCATGGGCAGTGCAAGACCCTGCGTGGCTCCAAAGTGCTGCTGTGCGGGGCTTCCTGTGTCAATGAGCGGCCGCTCACCTACACAGCTTCGAGGGAACACTGCCCTTCATGGTTAATCTTTAGGAGGCACCCAAGGATGCTTTTATATAGCACATTTGGTTAGGTTTAGTAATAGTCCTTAGTAGTGATTTGAAGTTTTTTTAAATGTATTTTGTTTTGTGTTTTGTCTATGTTTGTAAGCTGCCTTGAGCTGCAAGAGGAAGAAACCTGGCTAATACATGTTTTGAATAAATAAGTGAATAAGTGGTGTTGAAACTTCGTTCTATCCTGGGCATTATTCTACCAATGCTGCGACTGATCACTTGTGGCTACTTACATCTAGACCTTCCTCCCTCTCAGCCATAGCGGAGTGCCTTGGGTCAGCCTCCGTGGTTCTTTCTTTTCTCTTCTCCCCTTTCCGAAATGGTGCCTCTCCTCTCGCTACCTAACAGTCCCCAGGACGTTCTCTTGAGCAAGTCGTCGTCTTCCTTTTAGATTTTTTTTTTAAAAAATCTGTATTTTGAACCGAAAAAATAATGAGCCATGCATTTCTCACCCACCGCTTTTCTCTGTGTTGGCGCAGGCAGATCGGGAGCGGCGCAGAGAAATTTCCTTACTAGATGACATTTCATCGCAATGTCCGATCGTTTGGGGCAAATAACCAAGGGAAAGGATGGGAAAAGCAAGTACTCGACTCTCAGCCTGTTTGATAAGTATAAAGGAAAGTCAGTAGAAGCTATCAGAACTACAGGTAAGGAGGGGCAATGAACATGAGGGCGGGGGGAGTGGTGGGAGCTGGGGCTTTTGAAACCCATCGGGGGGGGCAAAGGTTCCCTTCGTCTCCCCCCAACGTTCAGAAGAACACATGCAGAATGCTTGATAAGAACAGACGTGTTGGTCAGCAGTAATACTTTACCCCACTTCTGGGGGCCCTGGGAATTTTTACCCTTCGTCCCTTCCTCTTGGTAGCCCTGCTGGTAGCAGCAAGCCAAATACTTAGGAGTAGCCGTGACTGCATGCTTGGCATGCAGAAGGTTCCAGGTTCAGTTCCCGGCATCTCCAGTCAAAAGGACCAGGTAGTAGGTGATGCGAAAGACCTCCGCCTGCGAACTTGGAGAGCTGCTGCCCGCCTGAGTAGACGATACTGACCTTGCTGGACCAAGGCTCTGGTTCAGTAAAAGGCAGCGTCCTGTGTTCAGGCTTGGGAGAAAGGGTCTAGCTCAGGCATCCCACTGTTATGCGACTTTCCTTTCGTCGCCACAGAGCATTTCATGCAAGGGAGCAGTAAAATGTTTATTTTGCATCTGTCTCGGGCCCAGTTCACACGAGCTGGCAATGAGGTGGGAAAGACCCAGGTAACTACGTAGTTGGAAAATCCCAGCTTTTGAATGTTCCTTTGCAGAAGGGCTCCGTGCAAACTGAAAGCTAGCAAAAGCGGAAAGGTTCTACCACCCTCCTCTTTTTTGTATGCTGTGCTTGTTTTCTATTTACGGGCAGCTTCTCACCTCTTAAAAATGTTACTTATTTAGGTACTTCCTTTAGAACCCCACCTTTCTCTGCAGCGGAGATCCAAGGTGGTTTACATAATTGTCCGCTCCTCCATTTGATCCTTACAACAACCGCGTGAACTAAGTTAGGCTGCAAAAGTGTGACTGCCCCAAGGTCACCTAGTGACTTTGAATGGCAGGGGGGGGGGGATTTGAACCTGGTTATCCCAGATCCTGTAGTCTGACACTCTAACCCTTAAGATACAGCGGGTACCACCAAGGGTGCTGGTAGGAAATCCCCACCCCTATCATGTGGCCTTAGTTAGGATGAACACGTTCTTAGAACACTTCCTGTAAACCGCCCAGAGACCCCTAGGGGTTAGGGCGGTATAATAAGTCTAATAAATAAATAAATAAATAACCCCTATGCCACCTGGCTCTCAGAGATGTCACCTGACATGGTGCGGTCCATTCTATGACTTCAGCCTTGACCACCTCATTCCCATCTCTCTCTCCTGCCCTGAGAGTGGGACCCAAGGACTGGGCTGCTCTGTTCTCACTGTAGCAGGGAGAGAGAGATCTAGCCGATCTCAGAGGAAAGCGCAGAGATTCCTGGACCAGGAACAGTCGGGAACCCTCACAAAGCCGCAGTGCTCAGCAGTCTTTGGTGAGATGGATATTTTCTCCGGCCATGCAGAAATAATCACATGTCCTGTGTACATATGAAGCTGCCTTATACCAAATCTGAACCTTCGTCCATCAAGGTCAGTATCGTCTACTCGGACTGGCAGCCGCTCTCCGGGGTCTCAGGCGGAGGTCTTTCCCATCACCTCCTACCTGTTAACTGGAGATGTTGGGAACTGAACCTAGGACCTTCTGCACTCCAAGCAGACGCTCTGCCACTGTGCCACAGACTTGCCCCAGTCTGCTAGCTTTTTGCTTGCGAAGAGTTCTTAATATGGGTGGGAAGGTTCGACAGAAGTGATCTCACATCTACAGCCTGGTGCCATCCACTCTGCTACTGGCTGGATTCTGTGACCTACTCCTGCTCCACGTTTAAGGCCATGTCCCATTTGTCAAAGGTGGCAGGATTTGAATGTGGAGCCCTTATTCACTGCACCCCCCGCAAAGCTGGTTAGGATTAGGCTCTGCAGCACAGTTGGCAAAACCTAAAGGAGATCATCTGATTAAAGAGATCTTGTATCACGTTTTGCCTTTGGTGCACATTTTCATTGAGTTTACGTGTGAGCACCATCAGTTCCGAATCAAAAATGCATACTTTTAAATGGTGCATGGGTGTGTTAGAATGGGGACTGTCTCAGAAGAGGCCTTCCTTCCAGAGAGAGAAGAAGAAGAAGAAGAGATTGGATTTATACCCCACCCTTCACTTGGAGTCTCAGAGCGGCTGACAAACTCCTTTCCCTTCCCCTCCCCACAACAGACACCCTGTGAGGTGGGTGGGGCTGAGAGAGCTCTGACACAAACTGCTCTTTCAGGAACAGCTGTGCCAGAGCTTGTGACTGACCCAAGGTCACACCAGCAGGTGCAAGTGGAGGAGTGGGGAATCAAACCCAGTTCTCCCAGATTAGAGTCCGCACACTTAACCACTACGCCTCTACTTGTGTTTGTTTATCAGTAAATCTGTGGCCTGGTTTAACCGAGGACACCTTTTAATTTGATTCCCAGATGTGGAATTAGTGTGTGTGTGTGTGTGTGTGTCCATTTAAAAGAGAACCATGGGAATGTTGAAGCTTTCTTGGCAAGTTTTCTTGTGATTGAACTTTTTATGTGTGGGTCGTGTTGGTTTGGGAAAGGCCGTTCATGCATGCTCACAGGCGTTTTGAGCATCTAAGAATTGGTGACGGCCACGTTTCAGACCTGAATGGTGTTGCATTCAGAACAGAAATTCCTGAACTGTGTACCATCAAAGGATTGTGAGTGTGCTGTGAGAAATGAACGGATTAAGGATGTATTTTTGTGAAACCAAAGCATCCATCCACAGCAGAGGCTGTGGCTGCCTTTTACCTCGCTGCATGATTTTTCTGTTCTGGTATTGTTTCTTTCCTGCAAATGAAACCCAAACGGAATTGAATTAAGAACCTAAATCTTAAGAAGATCTGAATGTATAGGCCCAATAATTGTTAGTCAAATTAAAAACATCAAATATTGGCAGATACACAAAAATGTATTTATTACAAAGTATATTTAAAAACGGAGCTGCGGTGGCTCAAGTGGTTAAGACGCTGAACTGCAGGCTGTGGAAGGTCGGTAGTTCAGCAGTTCAAGACCCGGGTGCCGCAAGACGGAGTGAGCTCCCGTCTCTAGTTCCAGCTCCTGCCAACCTAGCAGTTCGAAAGCAAGAAATTGCAAGTAGATAAATAGGGACCACTTCGGTGGGAAGGTAACAGCGTTCCGTGCGCCTTGGTGTTTAGTCATGCCGGCCACATGACCACGGAAACGTCTTCGGACAGCGCTGGCTCTTCGGCTTTGAAACGGAGATGAGCACCGCAACCCTAGAGTCGGATTCGACTGGCTTTCGAGCAAGGGAACCTTTACCTTTACATTTAAAAACAGATATTGGCCCTGGTGATAGCCTCAATTAAGAATCAAATCGTACAATGACAATCAAAAATAGTCATTATTGACCCTGACCATATGTGTTTTGGTCCATCCCCCCCTCCTGTCATCCCTGATTTGGAGGGGAAAAGATAATTATGATACATCTCTGCATATTAAATTTGATGATATAATAATTCTCCACGCAGAACTGCTTGTCCTTAGAGAAGGGATCGCCTTGTGTCTCTGCATGAGTCCCTGCTCTGAGCATACTTCTGCAAGCAGGAGGTGCACCCATAACAGTGGGTCATGAAACATGGTAGTTTTCTCTGAGGGTGGATAATTTTGATTTAGACAAAGTTTTATTCAAGGCATAAGCTTCCATGTGCATGCACACTTCTTCAAATACATTGAAATGAAAGTTACCAGTCTGTACATGTAGGTAGAGGGTGAGCAGCAATTACCATACAACATAATGAAGATGTTTAACAGATGCAAGGATCAAACAGGAATAACAAGCTGAGGTTATATGGTCACCATTTGTATGGATTTAATTCTGAAGGAAAACATAGTGAAGCGAATTGGAGATCGATGTGTAAATGTACCCTTCTTAATTGTGGAATGCTGAGAGTAATTAACTGTTATGCTCCATCCGTTTCCTCTCAAAGCATGGATGTAACAGCCTCCTATTCTTTAAGGCAGGATGATTGGTTGTGCAGTGTTGTGTCTCCTCTGTCACCAGACTAGAGAAATACATTCCAGTCTACCATTCCAAATTACATTACATTCTGCTGTTCATTATTTATTATTATTTATTATTTCGGTTTCTATCCCGCTCGAAACCCCCCCCCCGGGGTCTCTGAGCGTCTTACAGTATTCTTAATTAACCCTATCTATGGCCACATTTCATTCGGGGTGGGGACTACCCTACCGGCACCATGTGGAAGGAGTTGTTGTACTTCTCACTCCTGGTTCGGCTGCTGGCTTATTGCTGGCTCGGCGCTTTGTTCCGTTCCGTTTGTTACATTACAATGCTATTCTAATATACTCTTCTTGGTGAGAATGCAGATGTAAGGACTGAATTAGCATATGCAGTGAGATAAGAAACCAGTATCCATGTTAAGTCCTGGGACTTTTTTGTTCTGTTGTAATTCAGCAGTTTCCCTTCCCAGTCTGTTCTGGAAGTTCTTTTGCAATAAAACAGCTACTTTGAGGTCACCCACTGAATGTCATGGGAGGCTGAAGTGTTCTCGTACAGGTTTCTTAGTCTTGTGATTCTTAATGTCAGATTTGTGTCCATTTATCCTTTGGCGTGGGGTTTGACCTGTTTGCCCCATGTAGAGAACGGAAGGGCACTGTTGGCATTTAATGGCGTATTTGTTTTGCTGCTTCAGACCAACACGGCTACCCACTTGGATCTATCTTTGGTTTAGATATTTAGAGTAAAACTTGGAGGCGCATTTTATTCTTTCACCTGGAAATTCATTTTGTGCTTTAAGCTTAATCCACAGTTTTGAAAGCATTGATTTAGGAGGTCCGGAAAAGCAGTAAAGGAGATTAAAGGGAAGCTAGGTATTCGAGTTAAGTATTTGCATTTGATTCGGCAAGATTAATGAGGATTGCAAACCTGGAAGGAGAGTGTGTTGGAGCTCCGAGCTTGCAAATGAGCCTCAGTGTTACCAGCTGCTAGCTAAAAAATGGTCTGTGG